CTCAACGATGATGGTCATCATTCTCGCCAGTCCTTCTGCAGACCTCGATACGACGCCGGCATCATCGGCATACAGCATCCCCCATACTGCCCTCAGTACTCGGTCAAGGGGTGTCTCCTGCCCCCCCCGCTTCCGTCTTCCCCTCCTCCAAGCACACCAGGCTCCGCAGAACAACATCATCCTCGCTGAATCGGATGACAACGACCTCGAGGACCTCGGCGAAGAAGATGTTGAACAGCAGTGGGGATAGCACACATCCTTGTCGCACGCCCTGTGTCACGAAGAACCAGTCCGATAGTTCTCCGTCGTCCATGCGCACCCGGGCCCGCATTCCATCGTGGAATTGGCGGATGACTTCGATCAGCTTCGCGGGAATCCCGGCCCTGGCCAGCACCTTCCATAGCATCTCTCGGTCCACCGAATCATACGCCTTGTTCAAGTCGACGAAGCACATGTAGAGCGGTATTTTCTTTCTCCGCCCCAGCTCCTGGAGGCGGCGCACGACGAACAGCATGTCGACGGTGGATCGCCCGGGTCGAAATCCGCACTGTTCCTCCGGGAGGATGTTGTTGGCTTCGCAGAAGGCGCTTAGACGGTTGGTGATGATCTTGATGGGGACCTTGCCTACGTGAGATAGTAGCGAAATCCCCCTATAGTTGTTACAGTTGGACCGGTCACCATTCTTGTACAGCACCTTAATGGTTGCATTCTTCCACACTCGCGGAATATCTCCTCCGTTCCACCCCTTGACGAGGATGGTATGGAGGTGTCCCAGGACGAAGGGTTCGTCGTCATCGATCTTGAGCAACTCGGCAGGGAGGGAGTCATGGCCGGGTGCCTTCCAGTTCTTGAGGCCTTTCGTTGCCCGTGCCACCTCCTCGAGTTCTGGCACATCTCCCAACCGTTGAGTGTCACGTGTCGCTGGCCGCTGCGTCACTCGTTCGATGATGTCTGGGTTCAGGGTGGGGGATTTGGTGTTGAGTGGGGTGCTGAAGAATCTCGCCCATCGCTGGAGGATGTCGTCCCTGTTCAGCAGCAACACGCCGTTCTCATCCGCGACGAACTGCTGTCCCCCCGCTTGTCTCCCGCTGAGGCCCACTGATCTCTTGAGGTGTTGGTACAGTCCTCGCATGTCGCGATCTTTGTAGATTCTTCGAGCTCAGTCACATATCCGTCCAGGTGGGCATAAATGCCCGTTCCGACTGCTGTAGCCACTCCCTTACACGCTGCTTTGAGAACCCTCCACGTCGCTGAGTTCCAGTTGCCCCTCATCGCCCGGCGCGCTTCCCGACGTTTGATAAGGGCCTGCTCCAGCGCTGCTCGCGTCTCTGGGGTCTCACACCACTCCTGCGTGCGGCGTCTCCGCGGTTCCTCCCCCAGGGTCGTCCGCGCTGCGTCGAGGAGGGCATTGGTAAAGTCGGTCGCCAATTCCGCGGCGGTGGTTGTTCGCTCGTCCAGCCGTGTGTCGAGGTTGAGGAGGATCCGGTTAGTCACCGCACACCGTGCTGCTTCGAACTGCAATTCCCGTCGGTTGAATTGCTTCTGTTTCGGTTAGTCCGGACTGAACGGTTGTGGGCAAGCCTGCCACGNTCGCCAATTCCGCGGCGGTGGTTGTTCGCTCGTCCAGCCGTGTGTCGAGGTTGAGGAGGATCCGGTTAGTCACCGCACACCGTGCTGCTTCGAACTGCAATTCCCGTCGGTTGAATTGCTTCTGTTTCGGTTAGTCCGGACTGAACGGTTGTGGGCAAGCCTGCCACGGAGGTTGACGGTGGCTACTACCATATTGTGGTCTGAGTCTGCCTTGACTGGGCGAACCGGCTGGAGGATGACGACCACGTTAGATACTCGGCCGTGATGTGCCTGCCTTGTCAGGATGTAGTCAAGGCGCTTGCAATCGTTTCCCGACACACCGTTGTACGTGTGCCATATTCCGCCCTTGCGTGTCTCAAAGAACGTGTTCGTGAGAGCTAGCCTGTTTTCCGTTGCGAAGTTCAACAGTAGCATGCCATTGTCGTTGAGCTCATCACGCCCGTACATTCCTATTACCCTTCCGTCCCCTCCGTCCAACCTATCACCCGTCCGCGCGTTGGCGTCCAGTAGGACATACACACATTCTCTGGAAGGAATCCTCCGCACGAGACTGTCAAGTTTTCCCCAGAATTACGCGCTTGCTGTCGGCGTTTGAAGGTTCGGTTGGAGCATACGCGGCATGTAGTTGAGAGGCTGCACCACCAGTCAGTGCCATCTGTGAAGAAGAGGGTGTTGAAGGAGCCTCACTTCTCTTTTTTGGTGCGGTGTGCGAACGAGTGACAGAGCCTTTCCACAAGAGAGGAGAGAGAGGGAGCATCCTCAGCAGCGAACAAGAGGAGAGGAGACGCACACACGCACTATACTCCGTTTATATATAGTAGAGCACATCGCCGAGCCGAGTCTAAATACTGTAACGACAAGTCTGATCTTCCTCGTTTCCCCCTGTTGCTTCTTCTCTCGCCCAGCAACAACCCACAGCAGCAACAATAAAACAGACAAATGAACACAGCACACACGCACGCACGCAGATCAACCAACCCCCAGATAGGTTGTTGTTGTTGTTGTTGTTGTTGTTGTTGTTTCTCACATTAGCTCTGTAGTCCACAAAAAATGGGGAGCCCGTGGTCTCAAAACCCGGCACATACGACGTCGCGAGGAACCAAAACAAGTATAGGGTACAAACCACTCGGAAACAGAAAAACAACATGATAGAAAGAACAGGTGCATAGGTCTGACCTTCGTTGACAGCGATCGAGTCCACAACAGCACCTTCCGTGGTGCCTGGAGTTCCACCACTACTACCTCATACTGCTGTTGTGTGTAGTGGTGGGTCTATTTGCTCCCCCTAAATCTACATCGTCCCCTGAAGCGATATCAATTTAGAAAAAAGCGGCGCCGGGCCTCTTTTTTTCTAAATCTGAAAGCCCCTTTCCAGATTTTGGAGCTCGATGTTCCTCCGTTTTGGGGAACGTTCCGAGAACTGGACCCTTCAACCTAAATCGAAAAGTTACACCTAAATCGAAAAGCGTCGAACCGTGTTCCGAAACTCCCCAATACCTCCGCAGGCAATCTGAATAAAGTAAGCAAGAACGTGTGCCTACTATGGCCATTGTGTTTGGCGACAGGCAGGCTGACCCTACACAAAGGAAATCTCACGTGTGGTTGGAGTCAGAGGAGGTCCCTGCACATGAAAAAAACAACGAAACCGAATCGAACGTACATGTTTTTTTTTTTTTTTCTCCCAGCATTGGACTCTGTCGTCTGCCCTTCTGGCCCCTATCCTCTACTTCTACTAGCTAGACGACCCAACCGGGGTCACATAGGAGGGGGGGGCTGGACCCCCTCCTGCAGTTCCTGCCTGAGGTATTTTGATCGCGAGAACGGTACAGCAATCCCTTCCCTCGCGACTTACGAAGTAGACTATGGTTTACTAACAACGAGCTTTGCAGCGCGTCGCTTTCATCCTAGACCAGGATTTATTTAGTGAGAAAAAAAATCGCTCTGCCGGCAGTCAACTCATGACCTGGCCCTTAGCAGGCTGCGAGGTTACCCACTAGACCACCGGGGCGACGGGTAAGTATCTGATCGACCTCGTCGTAAGTCTACAGTAGAAAAAACATTCGATTCTGGGTGTCCTCGTGCAATTGTCGACTGCCGCCTCAGGCCTCCTGTACGTTTGTTGTGCATTCTGCGCCAATGCTAAACAATGCCGTAGTAGAGAAACTACTCGCCCTGACGATGAGGTGATCTGAGTACCACCGTTGGTTGCACAGTTGAAACTTAGACTATATGTTGTTAAAGGAAAGACAAGAAGCGAGAAGCCACGAAGATATCAGTACGAAACAGGGGCCCATCGCCATCACCCCCGTGTGGAAAGGAGGTCGTTGGGTACTGGGCGGCGCGGCTAGCCTCGCAAGGATAACTCCACGACAACTTTTTTGGTCCACAGCACGGACCCCCGTTGCCCGTCTGCATAGTCTATTTAGTATCATTGGAGGAACTGCAGGCGCGTTGGCTATAGAAACGGAAAAGCTTTGTAGCGCACGGCACTCTCTCCTCTTCGTGGTGATGAAAGCAAAGAGACCGGATTCGGTGGTGGGGACCACATGCTAAAAGAGGTCCTAAGTCTTGGCAACCCCCTCCTCCGTGACCCGAAGTTCGCCTGAGCGATCTTTTCTCCTGAATCCAACCGTACCAACATAGCCCGGACTAGTGGAGCACGATGGTGCCGTCGACCGACGCCGCTGTACAGGGCACAACACGCAATGACGGATGAGGGGAGGGGGGGGCGGAGGGCATGGTCTTCCGTACATGTTGCGGGGGGGCGGGTAGGTTGTGTGCCTATGATTTTTTCTGCCACTACATTTGCCTTCTAGAAGTACAACCGTGCAAGCGTTGAAGGGGACAGGAAGCGCACCGACGAAGGGAGGGGGGG